GCCCCACCACAGGCAGAGAGTGCCCGGGCTGCCCTTTTGCCAGGGTCCCAGCCTTGCCCACCTCCAAGGAGGGGCTGGCCCGTCCTTCCCCGGAGGCTAGTGGCCCTGACATCAGACACCAGGTGTGTCCAGGGCACCTGGGTGACCACTGAGACATTCCTGAGTGTTTCTTCGTGTGGTCCTGAGTGCTCTCTCTGTGAATGACCCATCTTCTCTGTCATCTACAGATGGAGGCAGGAAGCTGATATATGTGCAGGAGCTGCCCGGGAGGGACTACTTCGTCTTTTACTGCAAAGACCAGCGCCGTGGGGGCCTGTTCCACATGGGAAAGCTCATGGGTGAGGGGCCCGCTGGGGCCTGCGTGTCCTGCCCCACGGTCTCTGACTCCAGAAGCCAGTGGAACCAGCATCACCACGCCCTGGCACGGGGGGAAGAGGAAGCCCCCTGTGCCGGCCTTCATGTGCCGCGCACCGCTGGGCAGGCGGTCCAAGTACCTGAAGTGGGAATGGGGTGGGCCAGGCAGGGACAGACTCAGCCTTGGTGACATGAACCTGCCAAGGACTGCTTCTGGGGTCTCCAGTGTAGGAGGGTCACCTGAAGGGAGAGGTAGCATCCTAACAGGGCTCTTCATGGCGCAGGGAGCCTCCAGGGTGGGAAGGTGGCCAGTGCCTCTGGGACACAAGGTCCCTCCAGGTGAGGGCTGTGACCCTGCAGCGTGGCTTTGGGAGCTGCCGAGGTCCCCTGGGGTTGCTGAGTGGCTTGGAGAGTCCCCGCCACTGTCCCCCTTCCTGGGGACCTCTCACCTGGGTGGTGGCCATCTGCTCTGTCCCCAGCCCCACCCCAGAGCTCTGGTTCACTCTTGGGCCTCTCCCCCTGTCCTGGTGCTTGGCAGTGGCCATCTTCTCTGTCCCCCAGTCCCACTCCGGAACTCCCGTCCAGTCTCGGGCCTCCCCTCCCCCTTGTCCGGTGCTGGGTGGTGGCCGTCTCCTCTGTTCCCAGCCCCACCCCTGAACTCTGGTCCACTCTCGGGCTTCTCCCCCTGTCCTGGTGCTGGGCCGTGGCTGTCTTCTTTCAGCATCTGCTCCCTGCAGGGCCATGTCGCTGTCCCCACCTCGGCTCACCTGTAGCCACCTCACCTGCAGGTAGGAATCCTGACATCAACATGGAGGCCCTGGAAGAATTTAAGAAATTCGTGCAGCACAAGGGACTCTCGGAGGAGGACATTTTCATACCCCTACAGACGAGTAAGAGGACAGCTGTGCCCAGTCCCCTGTGTTTTCCCCGTGTCTCTCTGTGACCTCCAGTGTCCCATGACCCCTGTGTCCTCCCATGTACCCCGCATTCCCCGTGTGCCCTGAGTCTCCTCACAGGGACTCCCGGGCCCTGCTTAGGGTTCTTGTCATTGAAGAGTCTGAACTCTGGGCTGTGATGGGGTCCGGGCCCTGCTTAGGATCCTCGTTGTTGGAGGTTCTGAGCGCTGGGCTGTGATGGGGTCCGGGCCCTGCTTAGGATCCTCGTTGTTGGAGGTTCTGAGCGCTGGGCTGTGATGGGGTCCGGGCCCTGCTTAGGGTCCTCATCCTTGGAGGGTCTGAGCTCTGGGCTGTGATGGGCTCCCAGGCCCTGCTTAGGATCCTCATTGTTGGAGGGTCTGAGCGCTGGGCTGTGATGGGGTCCGGGCCCTGGTCCAGGGCGTCTTCTCATCCTTGGGTTTTTCTTGGTCTCTGCAGGAAGCTGCACTCCCGAACACTAGCGTGAGTGAGCCTTTGGGAGGACACTGGACAAGCCCAAAGTCCTGGGTTCCCAGGGTTCAAGGGTCCATCTGTTCTGGCTCCTCCCATCCCACACAAGCAGGGAGACCCCCCGGGGTCAGGCACGAGGTTGGCACCTCTCAGAGTCTGCCCACCCACAATTCCTGGGACATTTGGGAAGTCCTTTGCTTCACCTATT